TTTTTTTTTTTTTTTTGCTGCGAAGTCTTCTTAACAGAAACAGATTCTATAATACTGATTTTGTAGAATATTTCAATTCAAGATAATCATGAGGAATATGATGAGCTGATACACATATTCTGGGGCAATGTATTAATCTCACAGTGGATATTAGGAGCGGAATAATTTAATTTTGTTGGCCCTAGGAGGCTAATAATTACAACTTCAAAATTATAATCAAATTATTTATTTTAGTTATTATCTGGGCCATCATATCTGAATGTATATTTGATTAAGTCTCCTAGGATAAGTTAAGAAATCAGGCCTATTAGAAAGAAGTGATTGGGGCCTTGTAAAATAATGGATACTAGATAATTTCAAACTCACATTTGGTCACTGTACTTTGGGGATACTAGTTGCAAATTCTCATTGAATATTAGCTAAACATGATGAAACCTTTACATTTACATTACCATCTTAAATATTCCTCTGTTATGGCTACTAGTAGACATGCACTAGCATATTGCATGTTGCATGGATGTTAACATGTAATTATTTAGGGACCATGACTTTGATGTAAGGAAGAAATTTAGAGACAAACAAAGAAATAAATGAAGGACCAAGTATAAAGGACATACTTATATAAAAGCATAGCTACTCTATATTGAGAACTTGTGTGAGGCAGTCTACCGTTATGTGGGTCGACCCGTAACAATAATGCATACTAATTTTATCAAATGTCATACTTATGTTTATGTTATTTTTTAAAGTATGTCGTTTTCTAATGAAAGTGCATATTTGTAACAGAAGTATGTCGGCCTAATGGTTAGGCCAACCTAACACAAGACCAACGATCTAGAAAATGGTGAAAGGTGTCTAATCCCGTAAAAGAATATCACAATTTTTATCGGCACATGTAAAAGTTCTGATGTGAAAGAAAAATGTAATAAAACATATCTAATTAATGCAACTTAGCATAAATTATTAAAAGAATTAAATAAATTATCGATTAACTATTTATGCAAGCTAGCAATCTTATCACCTCAATGTCATTATCTTTATCTTATGAATATTACTTAAATATTTGTATGTTTTATTGTGTATACTGCTACTAGAATTCCAAAAACTCCCTAACATCTCTTTTGTTTTTCAGCTTGGCATAATTGCTTCCGTTGCCACCGAAGTAAATGTGCTTACCTTCGTTGCTACACTTGCCCAAATGCCGTGTGCCGAAAATGTCTTCCTGCTAGGCGCATTTTACTAATTGAAGGGAAATATGGATTTTGCAAAGACTGCCTAAAGCTTGCTTTGCTTATTGAAGAGAAGAAGGATTGCGACTCTGATGGGGTATGTTTACCATAAATTCATAAACTTGATTTCATTTTTTTCATTTACGTTGTCAATAATTTGGCAAATATGTGGTCATTATATCTTTCGCCATATCAGTAGTATATTGTCAGTGATCTTTGTAGACTGTTTACTTAGTTTACATATATTTTACCTTGAGGTTCTTTATTTTTCTTTTCCTACTTAGTATGATGGAACTGTTGACGTGTAATCATATTTTGTAGACTGCTATACCTTATTCAATTTTTACTTTTATTTTTGATGAAGAAGCAAACTTGGGCCTGACCTTTATGCATTATCTGGCCTTTTCCTGTACCGATTTTCCAGAATTTCTAGCTAACATCAGATTGAGTTCATCCTTCTAATATGCATAGCTACAACTAAAAATGGCTCAACTCTGTATGTGAAAACTTTCATGTGTGCTGTAAATTCTTTTTGTCCATTGCAAATGGAGCTGGAAGAGTCATTGTTGACAATTCTCCTGGCATAGTGCTAATAATGGACTAGATCAAAATGGCTCAATTAAATTCTAGTGCTTCTTCTATTAGTGAAGTTTCTAGAAAAAAAAAAATATATCAAACGGCGCAATGCACCTTGGGTCGCTACGGAAACAGCCTCTTTGTATAATTACAAGGGTAAGGTCTGCGTACAACTGACCCCCCAAACCCCAACCTGTTGGGAATATACTGGGTATGTTGTTGTTGTTGTTGTTGTTGTCGTCGACAAAATTTGGATTAAACTCGAATATTCAAGATGGTCTGTATACATAGCCAGTTGTAATTTGATATGATATTTCAAATCTTTATTAGCGGGTTTTGAATCTTTTGTTTTATCCAACCTTGTCCATTCACATAATGTGGTTATCTCTTAGAAACTTTAACAGCGATTTCCTAGTTCTGGTCTAGCTGTTCTTATTCTGTTACAGTAACAAAACATTAATCTAGATTCCAATAAGGCAGAACATAATTTATCGAAGGGTTTGAGCACATTGAGAAATAAAGGATTTGGACAAAATTTCTGCAACTTAAGTGGCTAAATTCTTCTGTGTCTCCAGGAGAAGGTGGATTTTACAGACAGGGAGACGTGCGAGGGTCTACACATGGAATATTATGACATAATAAAGAAAAAAGAAGGATTTAAGCTGGCAGATATTTACGCTGCAAAGAACCGGGTGAAGGCGAAAAAGTATTATCAACCGAATGATGACGATGAAGAATCGGATGATGAAGATGATGACTACGAAGAAGAGCGGTTATCTGATTATGATGGTCTTGAGGAAGAAGAGAGCAAAAAGAAGGGAACACATAATATATCAAAAAGGCATAGATTCACAAAACAGAGGCCTTTTAATAAATCCAATAAAAAGGAGTTCATTGGCTGGGCCTCAAGACCCCTCATTGAGTTTTTAAATTCAATCGGCAAAAACTCAACTGAAAAGCTGTCCCCGTTCGACGTAACTTCCATTGTGAACAAGTATGTGAAAGAAAATAATTTATTAAATCCAGGGAAAAGAAAGTCGATAACCTGCGATGAACGACTGCTTTGTCTTTTCGGAAAAAAGAAGATAGCTAAATACAAGGTTTTTGACCTTGTAGAGGACCATTTTGCCGAGAATCAAGAGTCGGACGAGGATGAGATTGGATACAATTCGGAAGACAATAATAGAGAAACTGAAAATGCGTGCAAGAGGCAAAGGAAGATTGGCATAAAGAAAATTCCTCAGGAAAAAATTAAAGAAATTGATATGCCTCTGAGTCGTTTTGCGTGCATTGGGGTTGAGAACATAAAACTGGTTTATCTGAGGAGGGGTGTGTTGAAGGAAATGCTTAAAGAACCTGAATCGTTTGAAGAGAAGGTGAGTGGATGCTTTGTGAGGGTCAAATCTGAGCCGTATGATTATCGGTCAAGAAAGTCTCATCAGCTCATTCAAGTCAAAGGTTAGTTGTTGAGAACACGTTGAATCGATTATTGTCAGTCGATAAACTGTTTCGAAAGAAACCCTCCACTGAACACCACTAAACATTTGTAAGCATGATGATCTCACTTTTATTTTGAACTTGTTTTTTGTCAGGTGTAAAAGCACTTCCGACAGAAGAAAACACTACAGAGGCTATCCTTTTACTTTCAGCTATGCCTGAAGAAATTCGCGTAAGTTTGCTTGCAGATGAAGATTTCACGGAGGTATCTATTTTTCTTCCCTCGATTGTTTTACTTTTTCTTATCCTTCCCTTCCTAATGTTCTACACAAGATATTTATAATATCAGAGCTGAAGCTAGCACGGTAAATTCACACAATTGAGGTAGTTGCATGAGTTCTCTGAGAGAATAAGTAATTATAGATTTTTAATTAATTATCTTCCTCTTTTAGGAGGTAGGTGGGGCGGTTTTTTGCGTGTTATATTTCACCTATGACTGTCTGAATGTTTTAACAGTTAGTGATTTCCTTCATGGATTTCCTTATATTTGATTATTTGTATTATGTTTCCATATGTATTTCAAATACTAATTTTTCATCGATTCCTAACAGTTTCATCGGATTTGAATTACGCCAGTAAAAAAAAATATTACTATTAAAATACTGTAATTGGCATGTCAATTACAGTGTTTAAAAGTTGCTAGGCTAATTTGGAAAATTCGCCTACCAGCTGTAGGACCTGCATTTAATAAAGGAAACAATTGACGCTTAACTTGCTTGTTGCAGGAAGAATGTGAAGAACTGAAAAATAAGATTTTGGCTGGTGAAGTTGAGAGGCCTACGGTGGTGAGTACTAATAACTTAATTTGGTCGCCAAAGATACTACCTAATCTGCAATATGTTGGTAATTTTGCTGATTTATGTAATTTCTACATGCATGATTGGGATGCAATTTAGAGTTTTCAAGAACAAGATAGTTTTGGTAGAGTCAAGTGATTGTTAGAAGCTTATGAAAGCTTGCGACTATTCCTGTTTGGAGTTCCTTCTAATATCAATTTCAACACTATATGAATACAGTTTTCACAGACGGTTAATGTTTGATTAGGATTTTGATATTGATCCATTTGTGCTTACTAAATCTTATTAAAATCAAAATGAATGGAAATGAAATTCAGTAAGTAAAATATTATAGAAAAACCAAATGAAAAAAAAAAAAAAAAAATTGGCCGCAATTAAGATATTTGCAACCATTACTTGTCATCTAATATGCATTAACTATGACTCATCTCAAGAACATAACCCCACTATAAGCTAATTCACAACCACTTCTTTTACTTCTTTTGAAAATACAAATGTCGCTATATAACGCAAGATAGTTTCTGTGAGTTCCATGTTGAGTTGGGATTTTCTTAGACCCTAGACTATAATATCTTCTTTTACAGGATTTTCTCCAACAGAGAGTGAATGCTATTCACAAGGATGTTACAAACTATGTATGCTTCTCATCTTTTTCTTTCATTATAAGCTCCATGATTATTACCTTCCTGCACTGGCTGTTTAAAATGATATTCAAATTTCCAGTTTCACCGTTATCATGTTTTAGACATTTGTTTTGCTACGTCTGAAGAGGCGTGCAATATATTCACTTTAATTTGTCCATTTCTCTAATCACATGCGCTATAACTTCACTTCCACTCTGATATAATCTTTTTGTCCACTACTCTTTGATTTCAATTAATCAATGAATCACTGCCAGGGCTACTAAAGTTACACCTACATTTTCACCTCATTGCTTAAATTTAATGAAATTTATTGCAGTGGATCCATAAAGAGCTGAGATTGCTTAAGAATCGCGCTGATCTGGCAAATGAGAAAGGATGGAGAGCAGAATATCCTTTTATGAGTTTCTGGTCCACTGTAAATCCCAATTAAATCTATTTGCAATGACAAGATAATAATTGCAATTAAACAGGAAAGTCTTAATTTAAGTGCATAAATAAGATAATAATTGCGCGTCATCGTTGGCATTTGCATGCCTGGTCCACTGTAGTAATTCTCAGTTAAATTTATTTGCAATGATAAAATCATTTGACTTCCTACTGAAAAACTAAATTTCAACTTAGAACCCTCGTGGATGAGTAAAATATGAACTATCCAGAACATACTCCTTTTTTAAGTCTTTAAGCTATAAAGTACGGAATTTGCGCAATTTTGATTTGTTATCCTTTGTCTGGTTTAGTCAGCATTGATTGATGTTTTATGGTTTGTGGCTTTAACTATATTGTGTCCACGTACTTTGAGTTATTGGATAGGAGACGTAAACTGCAATCTCCCTTTGAGCAGTCACGATTGCTCGAAAATGTACCAACAGTGATGCGGGATGTATATGAGCCTGATGATGGTGAAGTAAACAGAGACAAATTAGACTCACCAGACACTGGATTAGGTATCTTTTAAAGCAGTACGAATTCTGCTCTTTTTTTTTTTTGTTTTTTTTTTACATTTCATCTTGATCTTTTTTTTTTTATTTAAATCATTTTATCTGGACATTTAATATAATTCATTACTTGATAAATAACACAGATTCGATTTCTATACAGCAATACCTTTTAATGCAAAAAAGAAAAGCAACAAAGCACGATATGATGTTAAACATTGCACTACTGCGAATGAAACACGAGTTTTTAAGATGAATTTTCTTTTCATGGTAACAGATGAATACGCTCAGCATAACAAGCATGCCAAGGCAAAGGGACGTTATTCGAATGTTGCGGTGATTGATGTTGAGAGTGATGATAATCTCCCAACTGATCAGAAAACAGAGGCTGACACGGAAAACGAGACCTGGCTTATGAAAGGTCCGAATGGCGAACGTACGGATTCTTCTTTGTCTTTGTTGAGGCTGTGGAGTGGAAGCAATGTATATGCTTCAAAGTTCATGGTCTGGCGGAAAGGCGAGAAGGAGGAGAACGCGATTCCTTTGATGGAGGCTCTTACACTTGCCGGCCGTAGTAAATAGCTATGGTTTGTTGTGTAAGTAAAGAATATTGGGAAGGTGGATGAATGCTTTTGGTTTTGAAGGTGAATTATGAAAGTTGAATGGCTTTTTTCCTTAAACTAGTAAAGTGCACGTGTGATGCACATAGTTATAAATTTTGTTGCCGATTAAGTAAAATAAAGTGATTGACTTAGTATACATGTTATTGTAGGATTGAAATAAATCGAATAATAAGATGAATATCTATTGCAACTTGAAATAAAGTATTATAATGAGGTAAGTAAAATAGATAGAAAAAAAAAAATGTCTCTAATTAAAAGAAAGTGAAATTACTAAATAAATACGTAGTAATGTGTATTGTAGATGAATTAGTTGTTTTTTTTTTTTTATTTTTTCTTATATTATTTGCATAATTTATTCTCTTTCCTTTTGTTTTTGATGTTATCTTCGCACTTTTATTTTTCACCTCCTCAATTGTTCTAAGATACGTAGCAATAGGACATTCTATGTACACAATTGTGACACCCTCAAATAGTGCTAAAGTCGCGTTGTGGTTTCCTTCAACGAAATTTAGGATCAATCTATATGTGCGATTATTAGTATTTTTTAGAATTTTATTTAATCCGTAACACATTAGTTGTGGAGTTTTAGCTTTCATCACTACCACTTATGTTTCCACTCCTTTGTTATTAGAGAAAGAAGTAAAATATTGTTTTAAAATATCTTAATTTTATATTAAAGTAACAAAGAATCAACTACTAATTGATGGAAACTAATAATAAGTATGTTCTCGTTTTGCATTCTCAACAATAATACAAGAGGAAAGGTTAAATTGGCGCACGCACGGGAATGCCGTGCAGACGAGCGAGCAAGGGCATGGCACGCAAGCAACCCGAAGACATCACGCGAGCAAGCAAATGTGGGCAAGAGAGATATTGGACAATTACTGTTAAAGATAAAACTACTAAAATGAATTTTCATTGCAATAATCAATTATGAATATCAAATATTAATTTAGCCAAGACACCAATTGTAATAGATAATAAAATATGAGACTACAACAAATGGGCAATTACATTTAATTTTCAGTGTTATGTGAGAAATTAAGAGTTTATATGAAATGATTGAGAATATTGTGGGCAAGAGAGATATTGGCATTAGTTCAAGAGAGAGAATTATATGTAGAGAGACACATTTCAGCCATATAATTAGTATTAGTCGAGTAATCAGGGACACACATTTCTCTTTAACTAGAAAGTTGCACGTGCGACGCACGTGATTACTGATATTTTTTAATTATTTAAAAGTTATATTTTTATTGAATTTATGCTTAAAATACAAAATTTTTCATTAGTTTAATAAAAGGGGAACACATATATAATAAATTATATAAATGCATTAGCACTGAAACATAATCTTTAATGGTATTACTTAAAATCTATAACTAAATAAAAATAAATAATTAAATTTCTGTTAAAATTCAAAAACGAAATTTATCAAATTTTCAGTGATTATTGAATGCCAACAAAGTCTCATTTATCTATCATTTCTTAATTAATGTTGTCTTCATCATGAAAATCATGTCGTTATTTTTATTGATGTAATATTTTTATATATTTTTTTGTTGTCACTGCTGTTTGTAGCGATTAGATTTAATAGTCAAGTCAATGTTAATTTTTCTATTACTCTTATTTTCAATATATAAGTATGAATAATTTAAGCCAAAAATAGCCATGCATTATACACAAATGTGAAATTTTTATTTTAAAATATATTCCTTAGCAAAAGTTGTTGATAAACGGATTAAATCAACGTAATCAATGTGAAAATTAATACAAAGATTGTAAAAAATGAGATTTTATTGAAGAGTTTTGAAGTTGTTTACAGTACTGGTAGGTCGGTTTTTTAATGTACACCAAGTCGGTAAACAATGAAATAACCGAGTTAAATATATGAGTATTTATGACTTTTTGCCGAATCCTCGTATTGTTTTCGAAACTGCTATTTATAGTTATGCTTGGCACACTTCCCTAGACAAATCATTTCCGTTTTAATGACGATTTGACATCTTAGGGGCGGCGATGACGTAGATAAACTTTTTAGGTAATGATCAGCATGGGCGCGCCTCTATCTGTGTGACTGGTGTCACATCTGTCGGATCGAAGTCGGTTCGTCTTATGATGTCGGTATTTTGATAAACTTTCAGCATTCTATGACTTCCTGATAAATTATTCTTCAACCGAGTTGGTCTTTTCAAGGTTTTGACAACTTGTGTGGACGACTTTCGAAGATTTGCGATACCATCTTCAAGTTCCGAGATTAGATTACCGAGGTGCCATATATTCTGCTTTACGTCGTCCAAGATCCAGTTTACGGGTTAGACTTCACGATTTCTTTAATCTAACCTTAATTTCAAGACATTCTATCTTGGTATCAACATAGAGGCCCCTGGCATTAAGAAGTATGCAGATTATGCGTACTTTTTGATGACACTTTCCATCCGATCACTTTTTGTTTCCGGGCTGATCTAAGGGTGTCTCACGCAAGTTTATACCGAGTTATTTCCCTTAGACAGGAATCGTATCTTTTTGCTCTTTTACCAAAGTCGTTTCATACTGTGAGAAGTTTATTGAGCGGTTTTCGAAAGGTCACGAACGTATTGTCCCCCATACTCTTCTCAATGGGCACGTACCGAAATTTCCAGATATTAATATTGACGGTTATGGGACACGCGTACGTACGAGATTATATCTGAGCGTTACGTCACAGTAATGGGGTACTTCCTTTAAGCGACGCGTCACTTAATCACGCGCCTCTCTATCTTCAACGGTTAGAAAATTTCGAGCATATATATACAGATAAGTTCACGATTTCTCTTCACTAAATCTTCATTCAAGCAACTGCTCTCTCTAACCATCTTCTGCATATTTTGCCTCTCCACTTTCATCTTCTTCATCATATCTCAACAAGTCCCGAATCCTTTGAAAGTTTATATCACTGTTCGGTAAGCCCTAATTTCTTCTTTTCACTTTATAATTTCTTCGTGTCGTTTTTTTGAGTTTTAATTATGGCGGTGAGTGGTGAGAACGTCGGTCCGGGCAGCAGTAGCCGAACTGTGTCGGATATGAGGTTGGATGAGGAGTTGATGGAACTGATGGGGGATTATTACCGGTGGGACCCCGTTTTTGTAGAACGTCTGGACATTCGCAAACGTAATATTGAAGGAGATGCCGAAGTGGAACGGGATGTTCCTGTGAGGTCGAGTTATTGGAATCGTCCTACCCGTCAATGGCCCGACGAAGATGTTCCGTTTTTGGGAGAGCCCAGCACCATGACCGACGCCGATGTTGTTCTCCTTCGTGATTTGGTACGAATCCCTACCTCGGTGAGAATCTTCGCTCCTTATCCAGGAGAAAGGATTCATTGTCCTCCTCCAGGCTGTGTAGGGATTTTTGCCGAAAGTTTGAGGTCGGGCTTAAGATTCCCTTTGGACAACGTCATAACCGACTACTTACGTGATTGGGGTCTCAGTCTTAGTCAAATCACCCCCAACAGTTGGAAGAAGATTATAGGAATTATGGTTCTCTTGGCGCAAAAGAAGGTCCCATTCCCTACCATTGACGAAATGAGAAGTATTCTACTTTTTAAGAGGAGTAGGGAACGTGATGGGGTTCCTCCAACAGGCTGCTTCTTCTGTGCAGCGAGACCGCAGTACGAATTGAAGATAGGACAGTTGATTACTGGGATACCCGAAACCCTTCATGGTTTCCAAGACGAATGGTTGTGGGTCGGTGGGAATTGGCAGTCTTCAGACTTCCGACTTGAGGCCCCAATTGATGGGATGACTGTCCCAACCCGAGTTGTCTCTTCTTTCCGTAAGTTCCTTTCTCTTACTCAGAATCTCCTGACGAGTTGTTTTTCTTTCGCTAACAGGTCGGACCTTTTCGTATTTGTAGCAAAAAGAAAAAAGGAACCGAAATTAAGCGGGGAGTTTAGAGAAAAACTTGAGGAAATCGCGAAGCTCAGTGTTGCGGAACGCAAGTGGAATCTGCTGACAAAGAACTCTAAGCTTGCTGATGCGAAACTCGGACCCAAAAAGGCAATCCCCGACTTTGAACCTGGTGAGTTCCTACAGTATCAATTTAATTCATGGCTTTGAACTAGATGAATTTATCAAATATTGATATGGCTTTGGTTATTTGCTTTCTTCCATCAGTTTATTATCCGTTGTTAGGATTTTTCGGATTCCAATCGGTTCGAGAAGCAAAAGATTATCGCCGTAGATTTTCCGTGAAGGACATCGAGATGGGTCGCATGAATTTTTTGGCAAATTTGAAGAAGAAGGCTATCACAGGTCGTGCCGCGGCGGGTGACGATGTTGGAGTCACGTCGGGCGTACCAGTTACAGTTGCGGTACCGGCCCCTGTTAGTGAACCCGTTGTTGAGCCCCCCCTTGAGACAAATACCGAGCTGGTGGTCGCTACTCATTCTTCCCCTCGGGAGGTTGAGAAAGATGCTGAAGCTGTTCGCCCTGATCTCCATGTCATTGTTTCGAGTTCAGAGGATGTCGAGGTGGTTCAAAAAACGACGGAAGATACCTCTTCTCAAGAGAAAAAGAAGAAGAAGAAGAAGAACAAGAGGAAAGCAAGCGAGGAGTTTGATGTTGACCAAGAACGCCGTTCGAAGTCAAGACAAGATGTCGGCCAACTTGGTTTGGAAAAGAATGCTCCAGTCCACCAGGATGGAGGGGATACCTACTTGCCCATTGATGAAGAAAGGATCTTGGACCATAATCTGCCAGAAGATGTGATGGAAAAATGGTTTACTCAATACCATTCGATGATTGTCCCCAAATTCAACAACAAATTTCACCAGCCTCCACATGTGATGGAAGCAGCTCGGGTCCCGCTGATGTCTTGGGATCCGGCGACTGAGGCACGAGTGTCTGGGTTGTCGAGCTCTTATAGATTCAGTTATGCCAAAGCTACATTGGGGAGAGCTTTGGTAGGCCTTTGTGCAATGGAGGATGAGTTCAGAATGAATGCCGCTGCTCTCAATGAGCGGAAAGATAAATTAGAGTTACGTGATGGTCAGCTTGCATCTTTGGAGGCGGATAAAGCCAGCTTGATGACCGAAGTTGAAGATAAGACGGCCCAACTTGTTGCAGCGAAAACCGAGATGGAAGATTTGGCTGCCGATAAGAGGCGTCTGGA